CGACTAGCACGGTAACTGCACATAATTTCGTTCTCATGTTACAATTGAGCGCGCCCTCGTATCCTGATTCATATCAAAGTCTTGCTTCCACAGCACTGTTTGCGTATCAGCCCTGACACAGGACTCCCGACGGCGATCCCGTAGGGACAGCCGACAGGCTTTGAAACGTCAGGGTAATTTGTCCGATCTAGCCCGAGTTTCCGCAACCACATTGAACGTATGGACGGACTCTACTATGGGTACAAAGAAGAAAGAAAATGGCAAGGCCGTGTTGTTCCGAGTTCCAACATGTCAAGGCCCAATCAAATCACAACTCATTTTCGACACTACTTGCGCTGGAGAATTGCCAGGTCACTGAATCACGAATTTCAAAGCTCTGCAATTTCTGGATTCCGAACTGACCCACGCACATTGAAGCGACAGGGTGACAATCGATCACAGCTCGGGTCGTTCAGGGATCTCCGAAAACAATTGACAGCCCTAATCGACACGTCAGGGACATACGCTGGATGTTGCCATGCCAGCCACGGAACTTGCTTTGGTGGACTCGAGCGAGTCGCGGCTAAGCAGAGGGCATTTATCTCAGCGGTAACATTCATGGAGATTGATTGCATGCGAGGTAAGCCACGTATCGAAATCGTAACAGAGATGTCTTCTCATCGCTACGATGGTAACTATTATGCCCAGATGGCCAACATTATTGCCTGAATGGTAATGAGCAGTGCATCCAGAAATCCTGGCTGGTAACTTTGCGTTCCAACCAAACTCTACACCGTACAAGTCAGGTTTTGACTCAACAAAAAGGAAACTGACTATCCTCGTATACACCCACAGAATGCGCAATTCTGTCTAGTAAACGAACGCTTAATAATGCAAAACTTTCAATGCACGTATTTGATATAATAAATAATCAATATTATAGCAAGCATCTTACGGACACTCCGTAAAAAACAAATGTAGCCTGAATATTTAAAACGGGGATTCGATTATCTGTTCATACAGTTTATATCATGTCTTGTATGCAATTTTTAATATATATAAAATGGTTTTTTTAATGCAACTTTTATTTTATATCATGTGCAAAATTTATATTGTTCAAATTGATATTGAGATTTTTGTAAGTAGGTCTAGCTTCAAATCCTAAAATTCGGAAATATATTTTTGATAAGGTAGAATAATTTGTTGCAAATATATATAACTAGGATATCTTTTCCGTTTGACATTGTGTGTATATGTTTTTTTGCAGTGTTTCTTTGATAGATAAGAATTTTTGTTTGTCTGTTTGCTTGTTGATTTGTTTACAGATTACGAGTTTCCATATCGCGGTTTTACTGTCTGAAATTGTAAACCTCGCTACTATAAACAGAAATGCGCATTTTGTTGGGTACACGTTGAGTCAGTATTGTTTCGCTGAGTCAAACCTGACTTATAAGGTGTACGGTTTGGTTGGAACGCTAAGTTGCCAGCCAGGATTCCCGGATGCACTGTTCATTCATTACCATGTAGGCAGTAATGTTGACCATTTGGGCATCCTGGTTACCATCGTGGCAATAAGAAGACATTTCTGTTACAATTTAAACGCGTAGCTTACTTTGGGTGCAATTGAGCTCCATAAATGTTACTGCTAAAATAAATGCCCATTTTTATTTTATGTCGATGGAAGTGGTTGGGATGCCAACGAGGCTCTCGACTCGACTTGACTCGATTCGTTTCAGGCAGGCCACCCTGTGGATTTTGCTGGCGCGCCACTGCACTGTGTCTGGCACGGCGAACGTCAGAGTTCCCATTCTGCTGGTCAGCAACGCACTGTGGTGAATCTGTGGTAATTGACGTGTTCCAGCCCAAACCCGTCGGACTGGCTCGGGTCGGCCTGGCTCGCAGGACTTAGAATCTCTAACACACCCTCGACGCAACCTGCAGTGCATTTGTCACCCCAATTTCTCGGTGACGTCACCCCCATTTCGAGTCACAAACTAGCTGAACCTTGGTTAGTCAGGGCGTGTCTTTAAAGCTCACGGCCCAAATTGCGGGGCGCGCTGGCCAAGCTTACTAAGGTTGACGGGGGTGATGTTTTGAGTGCTGTTTGGGTTGCGAAGGGTGGTTACGAGAAGTGAGATGCAATCTGATTGGCCAGATATTTTGTCGAATGGGAGAGCAGGGAACAACAGCAATATGCTGATTGCGATTTGGGACTCTCGAAGCAAACCCAGGTTGCTCCTAGGGGTTTGCCGTGCCAACAAGGGTCTAGCGCGAAATTGGGCGAAAGCAAACAGCCCAACTCCCAACAATTCAACATCTTCTCCCGCCACCCAAAGGTCAACCTTACTAAGGTTGAACAATTTGGGCCGCGAGCTTTAACGCGCGGGGTGTTGATCTGCAAGGACTGGACTAACCAACTCGCGAACCATTGAGTGAACCCTAGTGGCCCCCACTACAAACCTATAGCTTCCAACCAGTGACGTGGAAGAATTTGCATCCGCTCTAAATTGGTTGAAGTTTATTCGATGATGGGCTTGGCGAAAGAAATTTTCGACCATATGGACGACGCCGGAGCGGCCAATATGTTTCTGGGCGTGTACAGCCTTGGGCCTATTGCTTGTACAGCCTTACCAACTGGTCCCGTCGCGAATATACTCCTCGACACACCGCCGTCCAAGCCCTCTGGCAGCTCTTTCTAGGGACTACGGCCAACAACTTAATGGGTTATTATACAGATAGTCACTATTAAGGGCGCGCTGTCACAAATGGTCACGGGGTTATCACGAACGGTCATTGAAACGGGCAAATCTATCACAAATGATCATAGTACTATCATGGATAGTCACTCGCTGCCCCGCATTTCGATCATGAATGGTCACTCGATGAAACCCTCAAGGAAAGCTGAAACTCCCTGAGGAAAAACTATGGAGATTTTGAGGAATCTTAATTTCGATTGCTTGTTACCTCTCGAATGATTCTCGCCTGAAATCTGGGACTAAATAAAAAATAAACCCCTATAGGATGGCACACCTTTCTGGAAGCATCAACCCTAAACACCATGCGAAATGTGTTTAGGGTTGATTCCTCCCGGTGAAAATCCCATCCAAATGGGTTTTAGTTTTGTCAGAATCCCAACCACTAGACTATTGGGATAAAAGGGCTTGTTTCAGTAGCGGGTCAGTGCGCCCATAACCCCCCAGGCGAACGCGCCTGTAACCCTCTCCAGGATCAATCGAGCATCCACAGTGCAGATCTACTGACACCCCCCCATACTGGGAGGCCCAGAACTAAGCACAGCGGCAACGGCCTACATGTGCATACACCGGGAATCGAACTCGAGACCGCTCTGATACCATGTCAGAATCCCAACCACTAGACCATTGGGATAAAAGGGCTTGTTTCAGTAGCGGGTCAGTGCGCCCATAACCCCCCAGGCGAACGCGCCTGTAACCCTCTCCAGGATCAATCGAGCATCCACAGTGCAGATCTACTGACAAGTTTTTCCTTGTAACAAAAAGAAACTTTGGGCTTCACCCGTCTAAAAGTGCTATTCTTAGGACATTATGCATAAATCAAACAGTGGACAATCGAGCTAACTTTCCGATGTTGCCAAGAAATTTCGCGAGATTTTTAACGATTTTGCAAGAGCGGTCACGAAAAGTATTTCGTAAGTAACAACGTCTCGCAACACAACAGACAAAATGGCGCGACGAGACAGAAACAGTGCTACAATTAAAACGACAAACAAAATTAACGCGCTAATAGTCCCTAAATCGCAATAGCGTGATAACGCATGGGGAAACATTTCAACTTTCGGGCGGGCGTTTCTTTCAGTGACTATTCATGATAGCATCATGGGGCGACAGGTGAGTATCCGTGTTAAATCAGTGACCATCCGTGATATATTCGCCCGTTTCAATGACCGTTCGTGATAACCCCGTGACCATTTGTATTAGCGCGCCCTGTTCAGTGACCATTCGTATAATAACCCCAACTTAATGCCGGAAAATATAATTTAATATTTTCTATATGTAACTGCATGTAGGATTGGTTACTGTAGTTATAGCGTTTTCTTTCAAATTATAACATTTTGTAGGCTATAGTGGGGTAGCCCATATGGGGTACACATTTCTAGGGTTGCATACTTGTATCACTTTCATTCCATAGTTCACCTCATTCTCGTTCTACTTTTCTCATGGTATCAGAGCAGGTTTCCCCGTGGGAACTGTGCCTAGGGCCCACCACATCGATTTTTTTTCCTGCCCGAAGCGCGCTCGCCCTGAGTCGCGCTCCGGGTCCTCTCTCGCGTTGTCGAGCCGCCCTAGAGGCCACGCCACCCTTCATCGCGGCCCCGCCCTTAGTCGCGGCCCCGCCCTTCGTCGCGGCCCCGCCCTTCGTCGCGGCCCCGCCCTTCGTCGCGGCCCCGCCCTTCGTCGCGGCCCCGCCCTTCGTCGCGGCCCCGCCCTTTGTCGCGGCCCCGCCCTTCGTAGCGGCCCCGCCACCCCTCATCGCGGCCCTGCCGTCTCTCTCGACGCGGCCCTGCCGCCCTTTCGTCAAGGCCCCTGCCGCCCTTCGTCGCGGCCCCTGCCGCCCTTCGTCGCGGCCCCTGCCGCCCTTCGTCGCGGCCCCACCACTCGAGCCGCCCGAGCCGCCCGAGCTGCCCGAACCGCCTGAGCCGCTGAAGAGCCGAGCCGCCCGAGCCGCCTGTGCCGCTGAGTACCCGAGCCGCCCGAGCCGCCTGTGCCGCTGAGTACCCGAGCCGCCCGAGCCGCCCGAGCCGCCTGAGCCGCCCGAGCCGCCCGAGCCGCCCGAGCCGCCCGAGCCGCCCGAGCCGCCCGAGCTGCCTGAGGAGCCGAGCCGCTGGTACTGCGGAGCTGCAGTTGTTGCCGAGCCGTCCGAGCAGCAGTGTTGCCGTGTTGCTGTGCTACTGAGCTGCCCAAACCGCCCTGTCTGGTGAGAGCAGCACTTCTGTCACTGCACTGCCCCTGTCCTACAGTTAGTACTGCTAGTCTACTGTTGTCATGGCTACCCCTAGTGTCCTAGCTTTTGACGCTGAGGGTCGCGCCATTGACTTTGAGGTCTGGGTCGACGACCTGCAGCTGTTCTTACAGTGCGATAGGGCAGACGGTCTTTCCCTCTTTGACCTCACCTCTGGCGCCTCTCCTGCCCCTGCTGCTGATGCTGACCCTACTGTTCGCTCCCAGTGGGCCACGCGCGATGCTGCTGCACGTATTGCTGTGCGTCGCCACCTCCCTACCTCTGAGCGTGCGCACTTTAGTCAGTACAAGAGTGCTCAGACCTTGTACGACGCTGTAGTTGCACGCTACTCCTCCCCTGCCACTGCTGCACTGAGCCGTCTCAGGCTACCGTACCTCTTCCCTGACCTTGCTGCCTTTCCCACAGTCGCTGACCTCATTACGCACCTCCGCACTAGTGACACTCGCTACCGCGCTGCGCTTCTTGCTGACTTCTGCGCCAAGAACCCCCCCCCCCATGTACATCACTCTCTACTTCATAGTCACTCGTCTCCCTGACTCCCTCCGTGTAGTCAGGGACCACTTCCTCTCAGTCTGTCCCACCACTCTCACTGTAGACCTCCTCGAGAAGTCCCTCCTAGCGGCCGAGAAGAGCATAGTCGCTGTAGGGGCCTCTCGTGGTGACCCTCGCACCCCCATCTTTGAGGGGTGTTCTCCTTTCCCCCCTTTTGCCCTCTATCGCCTCTGCCACTGCGGCCGACCTCGTTGGTCTTGAGTCGGTCGGTGCGGCGTCTGCCCCTAGCGGGAGACGCCGCCCTGGCAAGGGCAAGGGGGGCAAGGGAGCGGGTGGAACTAGCGGGGGCGGTGGAGGTGGAGGTGGAGGCGGCGGAGGGAGTGGGGGTGGCGGTGGGAGTGGTGGCGGGGGTGGAGGTGTCGGTGGCAGCAGTGGAGGCGGAGGCGGCGGCGGTGGCGGAGGCGGAGGAGGCGGTGGTGGAGGTGGTGGAGGTGGTCGGGGTGGCGCTTCGCAGCGGAGCAGCACTGGTGGTGGTTAGCGCCAGCAGCAGCAGCAATAGCAGCAGCGTTCTCGTGACACCCCCCCCCCCCTCAGCAGCTGCGTGAGTGGTACACGCAGCGTCAGCGTGGTGGGGGTTTTGGTCCCTGCACCTACGTCCTTCGCACCGGCGACCGCGCGGGTGAGCAGTGTGGGGGTGCCCACCCCACCCAGCGCTGCTTTGGCCGCCTGACGGACGCTTGGCGTCAGCAGTTCCCGGAGGCCACTAAGATCCCCCGCTGGGGAGAGCTGTCTAGGGCAGGCGTAGCTATCTATGATCTTGACTTTGATGCTATCCTTGCTGCCATGTATGCTGTGACTATTAGTGATGAGGGTGACTGTTACCGGTGTTTCCCGCCCGACCCGGGCATTGGTACTGCTGCTCTAGGTACTGGTGAGGTTGCTGCTCTAGGTGCCAGTGCGTCTGCGCTCTCAGGTACTGTTGAGTCTGCGCTCTCAGGTACTACGTCGGCTTCGGCCTCCCTCACCTTCACCCTTGACTCTGGAGCGTCTCGCTCCTTCTTTCGGGACTGCACCTCGCTCACGCCGCTTAGTCGGCCTGTTGCGGTGTCTCTGGCTGACCCCTCTGGGGGTCCTGTCCTGTCTCGCTTCTCCACAGTCCTCCCGTGTCCGGCGGCTCCCTCTGGCACCCTGTGTGGTCTTTACCTCCCCTCGTTCTCTACGAACCTGGTGAGTGGTGCTGACCTACAGGATGCGGGTGTCCACCAGTTCACTCCTGCGCGCCAGCGGGTGACGCACTGCACAGAGGCTAGCACAGGCCGACACCTGGCTACGTTTACCCGTCAGCCGAGGTCGAGCCTGTACACACTGACCACTGCGTCTCCTCCCGTTGCTGAGTCTGGTAGGGTCGCGGCGTCGGGTTAGGTGTTTGCTGCAGCGTCCAGGTCTGGTCCTGAGTCTGCCCCCTGTTCGTGTCGTCTCCTGTCTCACGAGACTCTCCTCTGGCACCACCGCCTTGGTCACCCCTCTCTGCTTCGGCTCAGAGGCATGGCCTCCCGTCTTCTTGTGTCTGGTCTCCCCCGGTCCCTCCCTCCCCTTCCTCAGGGCCCTGGCCCTGCCTGTGTCCCCTGTGTCGAGGGGCGCCAGCGTGCTGCCCCTCACTCCTCCCAGTTTCCTCTGACAGAGGCCCCGTTGCAGACGCTTCATAGGGACGTGTGGGGCCCAGCCCGCGTCCGTGGACAGGGTCACGAGCGCTACTTCCTGCTCGTTGTTGACGACTACTCGCGTTACACCACAGTCTTCCCCTTGCGCCGCAAGGGTGATGTCACTGAGGTGCTGATCGACTGGATCCGCGCGGCTCGTCTCCAGCTCAGGCAGAGCTTTGGCTCAGACTTCCCTGTTCTGCGTCTGCACTCGGACAGAGGCGGAGAGTTCTCCTCTGGCCTTCTGCGAGCCTACTGTCGTGCACGAGGCATCCGCCAGACCTTCACGCTTCCGGACTCACCGCAGCAAAATGGGATTGCTGAGCGCCGCATTGGCATGGTCATGGACGTCGCTCGTACGTCTATGATGCATGCGGCTGCCCCCCATTTTCTGTGGCCGTTTGCGGTGAGGTACGCGGCGCATCAGATCAACCTTCACCCCAGGGTCTCCAAGCCGGAGACCTCCCCAGCCCTGCTGTGGACGGGGAAGGTTGGCGATGCGTCGGCGTTCCGGGTCTGAGGATCTCGGGCGTTTTTCCGCGACTTGTCTGCGGACAAGCTGTCCCCTCGTGTTGCTCCTTGCGTCTTCCTGGTGTTCCCCTCCGACGCGCCTGGGTGGCAGTTCTACCACCCCACCTCTCGCCGTGTTCTGTCCTCCCAGGATGTCACGTTCGACGAGTCGGTCCCCTACTACCGCCTCTTCCCCTACCGCACTCCGTCCCTCCCCCCGCCCCCACTCTTCCTTGTACCAGGTCCCCCTCCGGTAGACCCCCTTCCCCCTCAGGGTCCTGCCCCTTCAGGTGTGTCCCAGGTAGACGCAGTCAAGCCGGTCGGGGTCACTGGTGACTTTGGTGCTGCTGGGGGTGCGGAGCCTAGGGGTGCTGAGCCTGGGGGTGCTGAGTCTGGGGGTGCTGAGCCTGGGGGTACTTGGCCTGGGGGTGCGGAGCCTAGGGGTGCTGAGCGTGGGGGTGCTGAGCCTAGGGGTACTACGCCTTGGGGTGCTGAGCTTGGGGGTGCTGAGCCTGCAGGTGCTCTACCTGGAGGTTCTCCGGGTGCTTCGTCTTGCCGGGAGCCACTCTCTCCACGGGAGCTGCGCGAGTGGTTTGCCCGGCGCTGGAGCCGTGCTGCAGGTGCTGGAGGTTCTTTGGCTGCTGAGGGTGCTGCTGTCGCGGGTTCCGGAGCTACTCGTACTGGGAGTACTGGAGCTGCTGGGCCTGCGGGTTCGACTCGAGCTGGTGCTGCTGAGGGTGTTGGCGCTGAGACCACCACTGGCGGTCCTGCTGGGGGTGCTCTTGGTGCTGCTGGAGGTTCTGGAGCTGCTCGAGGTGCTGCTGGAGCGGGTGCTCCTGCTGGGGGTTCTGGTGCTGTCCCTGCTGTTTCTGGCGTCGCCACGCGGCCTCGACCGTACTTCGTTCCACTCCTGCAGCAGGTTCTTGGTCTTCCACCTTCTCCAGGTCCTCCACCTCCCTTGGAGGGTCCCCAGTCTGTCCCGTCACAGCCACAGCTACAGCCTGCCTCCCCTTTGCCTGCTCCTTCTCCCTACGCTGGTCCTACTGGAGGTCTTACTGAGCGTCGTGAGCCTGCGTCTCGTCCTGCGTCGCCTGTTCGTGCTGCTCGCGCTAGTGGTCGCGGTTCGCGTCAGCGTCCTCCGCCCGTCCCTGGCACGCACCGGATGTCTCTGCGTCCGTCTACTGCTCCTCTGCGTGCCCCTTTGCCTTCTCCTCCTGCGTCCTCTCTTCCTGCTCTTGCCGACCCGGAGTCGGACTCTCTTCGTGCTGCCAGTCCTACTGTCACGCGTCTCCTTGCTACTGCCGTCACTGACCCTTCTTTCGAGTCTTCTGCTGCGTCTGCCCTAGTTGTTGAGCTCGTCGACTTTGCTGCTCGCTGTCGCCTAGACTATGCTGCCAGTCTTGTCGCTGAGTCTGAGTCTGTCTGTGCTCCGTCCGTCGGGGGTGAGTGTGCCCTTGGCACGGACGTCCTTGAGGACAGGCAGGAGGAGTTCCAGTGTCTGGCAGCTACTTCACCTCATCTCGTGTCCGTACTGCTTACCCCTGAGGGAGACCCGGATGCACTTGACATCCCGACTCCGCGCTCTTACGCGGAGGCGATAGAGGGTCCCTACTCCTCTCAGTGGCAGGCAGCTATGGATGCAGAGATGGTTTCCTGGAAGTCCACAGGCACCTACGTTGACGCTGTTCCCCCTCCTGGGGCGAACATCGTCAGTGGCATGTGGATCTTCAGGGTGAAGCGGCCGCCGGGTTCTCCGCTTGTCTTCAAGGCGCGTTACGTGGCTCGTGGCTTCAGTCAGCGGCAGGCAGTTGACTACTTTCATACCTTCTCCCCCACCCCGAAGATGACCACTCTTCGGGTACTGCTGCACGTTGCTGCTCACCGTGACTACGAGCTGCACTCTCTCGACTTCAGCACTACTTTCTTGCAGGGTAGCCTGCACGAGGAGATCTGGCTGCGCCGCCCACCTGGCTTCACTGGGTCTTTCCCTCCTGGTACCCAGTGGAGTCTCCGGCGTCCAGTCTACGGTCTCCGCCAGGCGCCACGTGAGTGGCACGACACACTGAGGACTACGCTTGCGGCTCTTGGTTTTGCTCCTTCTACTGCCGACCCGTCGCTGTTTCTGCGCACCGACACCTCTCTGCCGCCGTTCTACATCCTCGTGTACGTCGACGACTTGGTCTTTGCCACAGCTGTCACTGCTGGACTCGCCTACGTGAAGTCCGAGCTGCAGAAGAGACACACGTGCACTGACCTGGGTGAACTGCGCAGCTACCTTGGCTTGCATATCACCCGGGACAGAGCACGCCGCACCATTACCCTGACTCAGTCACACATGGTGCAGCAGGTCCTTCAGCGCTTCGGCTTCACATACTCCTCGCCTCAGGCCACTCCTCTGCCTACTCGCCACTCGCTCTCAGCTCTGCCTTCGGATGAGTCCGTAGAGTCGAGTGGCCCGTATCCAGAGCTTGTTGGCTGCCTCATGTACCTGATGACCTGCACACGACCTGACCTTGCATACCCTCTTAGCATTCTTGCACGCTATGTTGCTCCTGGGAGACACCGACCAGAGCACATGGCTGCAGCGAAGAGGGTGTTGCGCTACTTGTGCAGTACGTCGGGCATGGGGCTAGTGCTCGGAGGGCGGAGTCCAATGGTCCTCACTGGGCACGCGGTCGCTTATTGGGCTGACGACCAGGCTACGCAGCGGTCGTCACAGGGTTATACCTTCAGTCTTGGTTCCGGCTGTGTTTCGTGGCGGGCTACCCGCTCGTCTTCTGTTCTCGGCTCGAGTTGTGAGGCTGAGATCTACGCCGGGGCTATGGCTGCCCAGGAGCTTCGCTGGCTCACCTACCTGCTGACCGACCTTGGAGAGCCGCCTCGTTCTCCTCCAATCCTGTACGTAGACAACAAGGCCATGCTGGCCTTGTGTCGAGAGCAGCGACTGGAGCACAGGACAAAGCACATTGCTCTCCGCTACTTCCTTGCACGTGAGCTACAGCAGCGTGGACAGTTGCGGCTTGCGTACGTGGCCTCTGATGCCAACACTGCTGATGTATTCACCAAGGCACTTGCGCCTTGTGATCATCAGCGCTTCTGCACTCAGCTGGGTCTTGTGCCTGTCTTGCCTCACTTGCTCACTTCTTGACCTTGCTTGTACTATCACATATATATACACCTGCTCTTACTTGCTTAGCCTCTTATATATATATGTGCTCCTGCATGTGAACTGGCCTTTTGGCCTTTGAACTTGTGCTCGGAATGTGTGGTGACTTTGTGATCCACCCTGAGCTTTGCTTTGCTTTGCTTGACTGGTCTTGTGACCCCTTGTTCTCCCCCACTTTGCCTATGGGGGTGTGTCAAATTATAACATTCTGTAGGCTATAGTGGGGTAGCCCATATGGGGTACACATTTCTAGGGTTGCATACTTGTATCACTTTCATTCCATAGTTCACCTCATTCTCGTTCTACTTTTCTCATTTTCCTATTTGGTGGTGCACCTTTCTTGCTTGCTTTCTCATATTTGTACCCTTGAACCTATAGTGAAACCCCTCTTTTCTCTCGACATTTCTCCTCCAACTCGAACTCAACTTCCTACCTCATTAGCTATGGCTCCTAAGCCTTGCTAGAAACTTTGACACTTAATTGAGGTTCATGGCGTTTTTCTGGCAGCGATGCTGTCACTTATTGGCGACGGACAGCTCGCGAGACTGCCGACTGTCAGAATGTTATAATTGTCTAGCCTGCAGTGGGGTACTCTATAGCGAGTACAACCCAATTAGGATTTCCATATGTATGCCAACTGCTGCTAGTGCAACCCCCTCTCTTCTTCATTCCTCGTTTCTTTACATGCTATCAGAGCATCTACGCTCCTGGCCTGTGGGCCCACCCAACTGCTTCCGCTGCTACTCAGTGTGTTGCACGCCCCGTGGCGTGCGACGGATTTTTTCTTCCCGTCGGCCGCCCTCTTGTCGAGCCCTCCTAGAGGCCCCTCTCACGGCCCCTCGCGCGACCCTTAGCGGCCCCGTCGCCACCCCTAGCGGCCCCGTCGCGGCCCTTCTCGGCCCCTCGAGGCCCCTTCGCGGCCCCGTTGCCGCCCCTAGCGGCCCCGTTGCCGCCCTTCCAGGCCCCTCGCCTGTGGTCTCCCCTGCTCCTCCTCCTCCTCTGTCTCCCACTGCTGCAGCTGCCGCTGAGGGGGGTGGGTGTGTGGGAGTCGACGGAGTGGTGCTAGGGGGTGGGGTGTGAGTGATCCTAGGGTGCAGTAGGGGGTGTGTGAAAGGGGGGTGCTGTGGGAGTGGAACTAGGGTTTGAGCAGGGGGTGTGTGTCGAGGGGTGAGGGGCAGCTGGAGGAGGTTGTGTGAAGGTAGCTGTCGTGTCGCCTGCAGCGCATTTAGTCCGTCGCCCTTGCTTCGGTAGCCAGTGAGCCTGTTGCACCGCCAGTGGGTCCGTTGCTCCTGCCGCTCGTCTATAGCCGCAGAGCCAGTTACTCCAGTAGTCCGTCGCCCTTGCTTCGGTAGCCACTGAGTCAGCCGCTCCTGTGCCCGTGCCTCTGCAGCTTCAGTCGTTGCCTCCCATCTGCTCTCCCTCCACAGTTCCTCCTCCTCCTCACTTGCCCGCTGTGATTAACTCTAGCTTTGCTCGCTATTGTGAACTCCTGCTCTATGCCTGCTTGCTCATTGTGCTGATTACACCCCACTTTGGCTATGGGGGTGTGTCAGAATGTTATAATTGTCTAGCCTGCAGTGGGGTACTCTATAGCGAGTACAACCCAATTAGGGTTTCCTATATGTATGCCAACTGCTGCTAGTGCAACCCCTCTCTCTTCTTCACATTCCTCATTCTCTCACAAAACGAATCGAGTCGAAAATTTCAGTCGACATCGACCAATCGAAGCTTGCATTTTGACGGGTCGCAACTTACGCAGACATTGACCAATCCGCTGCCTCGCTAAATAATAATTGGAATTGCGCGACAAGGGAAGGAAACTTGAAGAATATAAGGAAAATTCCTTTCCCTTACTTCGCGTCCCCGCTCAGCGCGTACACCACTGTAGCACCACAGTCAGCACCGTTACCACTCGCAACCCTCGCATCGACAATCCTCCCGCCACCTTCGCACGTCGCACCCCGACCTCACGGCTTGGCGGGTAACCCGCGCTCTGGGCCTCCGCTTCGACATTTTCCCCAACCTCAGTCCCAGGCCCGTCGCGCGACAACCACAGTCCATTACCGTTACCACTGTAGTTTCGCTATATATTCTTCGCTCATGCCTTCGCTCATTGTACTCTTGCTTCGATAGTGCAATTCTCGCTCGTTCACTCAATTGCACTCGTAACACTTGGTATTCAGAGCCTACGATCTACTGTAACCGCGACGAGACATGCTGTGGACACTCTAAGGGAGGAGGAGGACAAGTAGAAGGCAAGAGACCAAGAACCTGCTCAAGGAGCGGAACGAAGTACGGCCGAGGCCGCGCAGCGACTCCAGACACAGCTGGGACAGCACCAGTACCCACAGTGGCAGCACCAGCGCCAGCAGCACCTCCAGCTCCAGTACCCCCAGCAGCTCCAGTAGCTCCAGGACCTCCAGCAGCACCAGTAGCAACCCCAGCAGGACCGCCTCCAGTACCGCCAGCAGTACCCTCAGCGCCAACACCCTCAGCAGCTCCAGCTCCAGTCGGACCACGAGAAGACGCAGTGGTTCTAGCTCCGGTAGCTCCAGTACTCCCAGTACGAGCACCCCTGGGACCCGTGGCACCAGCACCCTCAGCAGCCGAAGCACCTCCAGCTCTAGCAGCACGCCTCCAGCGCCGGGCAAACCACTCACGCACCTCCTGTGGAGAGAGTGGCTCCCGTCGAGACGGAGCACCCGGAGAACCTCCAAGCCCAGCACCGCCAGACGCCACACGAGCAGGCCCACCTCCCTCAGGCTCCGCACCCCCAGGCTCAGCACCTCCAGGCATAGCACCCCCAGGCTCAGCACCCCCAGTCGTAGCACACCAAGGCTCAGCACCCCCAGACTCAGCACCCCCAAGCTCAGCTCCCCAAGTCGTAGCACCCTTAGACTCA